ATGACTTATGTAATCAATCTCGATAGCTACGTACTTTAAGTAAGTAAAGTAAAGTTGATTTAATCATAAAATGAAACATGAACATACAAATGAGTAACATAGTAAACATAGTACGGTAATGGACACCCTTAGAAGGAAATTGCTTGTGGTGGGGCCTTAAAAAAAAAAAAAAAAAAAAAAAAAAAAACTACACATAAATTATACAGTTTAAAAACTTTAAAATAACATGATACAAACACAAAAGCACGCTCACACATTATACATACACACATACATTCAAAATATCCTCCTCTGCTCAAACTTGTTTACATAAATTATTAAACAATAACTGTATACATCGTACTTTAAATCGAGATAGAGTTGTACTTTCCTTAATATCATTACTCAAATTATTTCATTTCTTAATGCCATTTAAATAGAAAGAATTTTGTGCATTTGTCGTACGAACTTTAAATAAATGTAAATGATTTTTCTGACAAGTAGAATACGAGTGAATATCACTATTAATAACAAAGTTTATATTAGGAATTTCTGGCAATAGGCGATTTTGAAATTTAAACATAAATATGCGAGTATTAAATTGAATCAATTCAAAAATTGGGACTACGTGTGTTTTAACAAAAAGTGGCCGTGATGGGGCTAAATAATCAGATTTAGTAATAATACGCACGGCTCGTTTCTGTAACAAATAAATCTTATCTATATATGATGCATAAGTATTTCCCCAAATAATATTACAATAATTTACATGTGGAAAAATCATACTATTATACAACATAAGCAAAATATTTGATGGTAAAACATGCTTTAGCTTTGACAAAACTCCAATACTTCGAGATAATTTCAACGAAATGCAATCAATATGAGGTTTCCAATTAAGTAATTCATCAATTATAATACCAAGAAACTGAACACATTCTTTCCTTTTTATAATATTTACATCAATTTGTATAGGCAATAAATCACTAGGGATATTCCGATTTCGAGAATGAAATATTACATAATTTGTTTTATCATAATTGAGAAATAATTTATTACATTTGAACCAATTATCCAATTTTATCAATTCATTATTCTTAATATCAACTAAAGTAAATACACTACTATGTGATGTAATAACGGAAGTATCATCTGCAAAGAGTGTAAAATTTAATACATTTGAAGATTGTTTAATATCATTTATATAAATTAAAAACAAAAGGGGCCCTAGAACTGATCCTTGAGGAACACCACATATTACATCCCTTTTAGTCGAACAGACACCGTCAACCACCACATACTGCTTTCTATCACTCAAATAGTTTTCAATTAATTTCAATGGAAGGCCGCGAATACCATAATAATTTAATTTGTTGAGCAGTATGTGGTGGTCAATGGTGTCGAACGCTTTTGACAAATCCATAAACACACCCAATGAATAATTACCCTTATCCATATTCTTAATTACATAATCTGTTAAATGAAGTGCTCCCAAACATGTAGAATAAGTCTTCCTAAATCCAAATTGCTCATTTATCAATAAATTGTTTTTAACCCAAAAATCATAAATTCTTTTTTTGCAGGATTTTTTCAAATAATTTTTTAAAAATTTTGATAAAAGAGCAATTGGTCTATAATTTTGTATATTTTCTTTTTCATTTTTCTTATAAATGGGTATAATTTTAGCTAATTTCAAACTGTCGGGGAATACTCCAGAAGAAATTGATTTATTAAATATATCACATAATGGATCAACAATAAAGTGTATACATTCTTTTACTACTCTGGGAGAAATACCATCTGGGCCACTTGCTTTATATGGTTTCAATGTTTTACTAAGTTCAATTATTTCAAATACTGTATTAGGTTTTAAAAACAATGTAAAATCATTATGATTTTTTTAAATAATCATTAAATGAAGTATCTACAACAGGAATGCCACGAGCTAGATTACTCCCTACATTAACAAAGTATGAATTGAAACATTCAACAATCTCTTTTCTATTATTGTAACTAATATTTTCAAAATACATATTACATGGCAAATCATTCTTCTTGCTCTTTCCTAGTAATACATTAACTTGTGACCATGTTTTCTTGCAATCATGTTTATACTTAGCAAACATTTTATAATAGTACTGTTTCTTAGCTGTTCGTAATAAAGAAGTTAATTTATTTTTATATATAGTATACTTAGTTCTATTATTATCATTACGTTGTTTCAAGAACTGTTGATGTAATTTTTGTTTCTTTCGTACTGATAGTAAAAGTCCTTTACTCATCCATAGTTGCTTGAATTTGCACTTCTTTTTCTTTTCAAAAATGGGTAACAATGGAAAACAATCATCGTACAATAATGAGAATTTACATATAAATTCATTATAACAATAATTCACATTATCAACATTATACATATTTGACCAATCTATTTTTTCAACTCATTCTTCAATCGAGATATCCCGTCTTTTGTAATTTTTCTTTTCTTCATATGTCTATACTGATTATCTTTATTATTTTTACAAACATTAATACAATACACTGGAAAATGGTCAGAAAAGTCGGAGTATAACAAACCTGAATGTACATTATCATTTAAAGTATTTGTAAAAATGTTATCAATAAGTGTTGCAGTTTTTGTAGATACTCGAGTAGGTTTCGAAATTAGTGGAAGCATATAAAATGAAAGCATTTTTTCTAAAAAATCATTTGTTTTATCATGAGAAGCACAATTTAATAAATCAATATTGAAGTCGCCCATAATATATATTTCTTTTCGTTCACTATCCAATAATTCTAAAACAGAGTTCATCTTTTCTATAAAACATGGTATATCAGAGCTTGGTGGGCGATAAATACAAGTAATTACAATAGGTTTTTTTAAAGGTTCATTTGTTTCAATTGATACAATTTCATAATCAGGTGTAATGCATGTCAAATCATTGCGAATTTTATACTGGATATTGTGCTTAACATAAATTGCAACGCCCCCACCGTTTTTATTGTCTCTACATTGTTGTATCAAGGAATACCCCTGCATAGAATATATATCAAGATCAAGATTTGGGTGGAACCATGTCTCAGAAACAGCAATAATATCAAAATCAAATTTCACTGAACTGAGTAGTAACTGAAAATCATCAAAATTCTTTTTTAAACTTCTTGCATTTATATGTATTAAAGACAAAGATGGTGTACATAAGCTATATTTCTTTCCAAAATCTTCACAAAACATATAATCACATTTGAGTTGAGTTACATCATAATCATTATCCAAAAATGGTGTTTCACTGAATTTGAGTTCTTTATTCATAACAAATGGATTTATTTTCTAATTTTGGAGTATTTTGATTCAATTGAAAGAAACTGAATACATTCCAATAAAAATCATTGTCACTAAGAAAATGATTAAAAGGTAATATACTTGAAATACATTGCGTACAGATGAATGATTGAGCAGAGGATAAAAAATCAGCACAGTTCACACACTTCATACACACAAACACAAACACACAAACAAGTTACAATCACAAAAATCACAAAATCACAAATTAAATCCGCTATTAGGGAATACTGAGTTCAATAATATAAGTTCAAAGTAAAAATGTCTATTGAGAGGGTCGGGAACCTCCCAGGGAAATATTATAGTTCTGTCATCTTACTTTCTCTTTCTCTCTCTAGCTGTCTATCAGTCTATGTGAGTTTTTCTTCACGTTCTATTCGTAAAGAATCTCTTTCGAATTAGACGAATAAGGATTTTAAATACTTGTAACACACTTGCTATATTTGTTCTCAACAACTCTAACCGGATTAAAATAATGGCTTTCTTTCCTAAGCATCAGTTAAACACACTTGTTCAATACTTTACAACCAAAGGGACAAAACTAAATCACTAGACCTTCTATAGTCTATACAAGCAGGGTTTTATATTGCTAATTGAACTCAATTCATAAAATAAATGTTTATAATACTGTGTTACATATTCAATACCAAAACTCAACCTCACCTTGTAATATTTAAACAAGCAAGACTAGAACTGATTATTTTCTAATTCATGAAAAAGAACTAGATTCAACTTGACCTCAGAAAAGTACTCATAAATTCTTTATCAAGAGAACAATCATTTTATATAACTCTTGCTTGAAATATTTGCTATATATTTTGTCCTGACATTTTAGCATTTGCTAATAATTAAACACGGCATTTATGACTGTATTATCTAAATGATCATGCCATTGCTTTTCTATGTCGTGTTAACTATCATTAATCTATACCGTTCAATTAACCATGTTACTAATGTAAATTAAACTGGTTAAATTTCATCTGATAGTTATACTTTGAGCAAACTCACTTCTTTTGCAGGAACTCAGGTTTAAAGGAAAACATTCCTCGTGTCTTCTGCATACATAGATATTCTTACATCTTGGTCTGTCGTTATATCACTCATCGTTATGTTATATAAAAGAGGACTTATAAGACACTCCCTTGTGGTAACCCGTTATGCGTTTTATAAGTTCTAGATGTTGCATCGCCAATTCGTACTTGAAAAGTTCGTGCTGTTAGATCATTTTTTATATACCTTAACATGTTTCATTCTATTCCATTTTTTGCTAATTTAAAAACCAGTCCCTTTATCCAAACGGTATCGAACACTTTCGCGTCATCCAAGAAAACTGCTATTGCGTGTTCGTTACAGTTTATGCTCTCTTGAAAGTCGTTTTCTAAATTATTGTCCGTAACACTACGACCTTTACTAAATCCACTTAGAAAGTGGGTAACAATTCATGCTTTTTAACATACCATTGCAGTCTTTCATTTATAATTCGTTCGACAAAGAGAGACCACATGACCAATACGGAAGTGCAATCTTTGCCCGTAATGGTCTTGCTGTGGAAAAATCCTACCTATCAGACAGCAATAACATTGAAGTCCTTTCTATTGGCCTAATGGGAATCACCATAAGCTCCGTGTACAATCCACCCCTTTAGCCTTTCGACCTGCCCGGCAGAGCTACTGACGACAGGATGAATGTGGTCATTGGTGATTTCAACAGCCACAGCACTACCTGGGGATATAGAGAAATGAACGAAGATGGTGAACTAGTTGAGACATGGGCAGATGCTAACCAGCTGTCCCTCATTCATGACGCTAAGCTCCCTGCCTCTTTCAACAGTCCAAGGTGGAGACGTGGCCACAACCCTGACCGGATATTTACATCTACCAGGATTGCTATCCAGTGCGAGAAAGTCGTTCTCGACCCTATCCCTCACTCTCAGCACCGACCGATAGCGCTTAATGCAGTCATTACTCCACGAGGAGTACCCTTCCGACGTCGTTTAAACCTGAGGAAGGCAAACTGGGAAAAGTTCGCTAAGGACTTTTACTCCTACATCAAGGACCTACCTGCCACTTCAAAACTACGACACCTTTGTAGAGTTGATGAAGAAATTCTCAATGCGTAACATCCGCCAAGGATGTCGCATAAGCTAAATTCAAGGCTTGACGGACCACTCCAAGGTGAAATATGAAGACTTCATCGAACACAACGATGGACCCCTTTAGTGAAGAGACACTAGAATCTGGAGAAAATTTGACCAAGGAAATTGATTAATCTAGAAGGAGGAAGTGGCAGGAATTCATAAAATCCACTAACATGACGCATGGCAGCAGGAAAGCATGGAAAACGATCCGGATACTGGGCAACGACTATACAAAGGCCCAACCAAGATCTCAAGTCACTGCCAACCAAGTTGCCCACCAACTCCTAGTCAATGACCGGGAAAATCCTGACTATCACCCCCAGAATAGCCGGACTCCCTAAGGTCCCAGACGCTCCAATCTCTCAAGATGTCCCAGGCTTCACTAGGCCGTTCACCATGAACGATCCCCTTTGTTCCATCAAAGCAATGAAAAACAACAAAGCTGCTGGACTTGATGACATCCTCTGCGAGCAGATCAAACAACTTAGACCAGATGCCCTCAACTGGCTTCTCAAAATGTTAAACGAATGTTTTGGCACCAACAACATCCCTAAGCTCTGGAGGAAATTCAAAGTTATTGCCCTGTTGAAGCCTGACAAAGACGCAGCCAGTCCAAAGAGCTACAGGCCTATCTCCCTACTGTGCCATAAATATAAGATGTTTGAGCGGCTTATCCTCAACGGCATCGCCCCATTCGTGGATGAACATCTCATTCCGGAACAAGCAGGGTTTAGGCCAGGAAAATCATGCACTGGCCAACTCCTAAACCTCACTCAGTTCATTGAGGACGGGTATGAGAGTAAGCTAATCACCGGAACTGCTTTCGTTGATCTCTCTGCTGCCTACGACACCGTGAACCACAGAATCCTTACCAGGAAGATCTTTGAGCTGACAAGGGACGTGAGACTTACTGGACTCATCCAGACGTTGCTGTCCAATCGGCGATATTTTGTGGTTCTCAGTGGCAATCGCAGCAGATGGCACAGACAGAAAAATGGCCTACCACAAGGAAGTGTGCTTGCACCGCTGCTTTTTAACGTGTACATGAACGACCAACCGATCCACCCAAACACCAGGAGCTTCCTCTACGCCGATGATCTCTGCATCGCCACTCAGAACCAGTCTTTTGTGAAGCTGGAGGAGTCCCTAAGTGATTCCCTAGCCATTCTCATCTCATACTATGGAACCAACTACCTGAGAGCTAACCCTGATAAAACACAGATAAGCGCATTCCACCTCAAGAACAGGGATGCCAACCATCAACTAAGGATCAGCTGGTATGGGAAAAGGCTGAAGTACACTCCCAACCCAGTCTACCTAGGCGTCACATTGGATCGCCCCCTTACCTACAAGAACCACATTGCCAACACAAAGGCAAAAGTCGGAGCCCGCAACAGCATCTTCAAGAAGCAAGCCAACACCAACTGGGGGACTGATGCCAGAACAATCCAGACGACAGCCCTTGCGCTTTGCTTCTCTGCTGCGGAGTATGCATCACCAGTATGGAGTAGGTGTATGGAATATCTTTACCATTTTCAAGCAATGTTGACGTATTTTTTGTTTTTGTTGTTAGTACACCATTCGGCCGTTTTATACAAGCCCATATCTTTGATTCTGGCTCACACTGATCAAGCTTCGTGCAAAATGCTCGACGGTAATTTCTTTCTGCTTGGCAAAGCACACGCTGTACTTCTGCCTCCTTTTTTAAATACTCATCTACCTATTGTCTGTGACATCTTATTACACATTCTATTTCTCTCTTTGATTTTCTCTGTGCATTATTTGGTCCACCAAGGCACCGGATTTCATATAACATTTCTCCTTTTCGGTACAGTTTCTTTTATACATAGTTTTAAATATTTCATGAAATTATCATATATTTTATGTATATCATTAGCAATAAGTATGAGATCATTTTTAATCATCTCTTCAAATATTTTTTTCAAATTTATATGTTTAAAGGAAATAAAATCATCTGCACTTCTTATTGAAGCATCTTTATATTCAGAGCTTTTCCCATCTAAAGTTGTTTAGAAATTTATTGGAAAGTGATCACTTCCAAAAAGGCTTTTCATCGCTCTCCAAGTACTTATACATGCCAGTGAAGAAGTGGTTATACATATTACTAAGCATGACAGTTTTCCTGTTCGTGGATCCAGTCTGGTTCCTTCACCCTCATTCAAAATAGTTAGATTATGATGATTCACGAATTGCTCTATCACTTGTCCATTCCTGTCTGTTTTAGCACTTACCCACATGGTTTATTTGTCAATATTTGTGATCCTTGTGCATATGTGGGTTTTTGTGTGATTTTGATGTGTTGTACTTGTTTTGCTTTTTTTTGCTTCTGTGCATCCATTATAAGCAGCAGAATGCTCTGCTCCACAGTTTACACATTTTTGGTTGTCTTTATTGGCGCACTCCTCAAAATTGTGGCTTTCTACACTTCTTACACATCTAATTTTAGATCGGCACTGTGGTGTCTTCGAAGATTCAAAGAAAACATTAAGTATGATATCTTACATGACATTTCAATGAAGTGAACATATATTAATCATGATACTTGAACTGTTGAACATACATGAACAAGTATAGTTTATGTTAATTCAATGAAACACAAGTCACTCTATCTCTGTTAACCGTAAAACACTATTTCCAGAAGGATTATGAAATATAAAACGAAAAATAAAAAAAGCTTCGACAGTTTTCAGCTCGGTCACCATATAACCTCGTTCTACAAATTGAGATATTGTATTCAATAACTCTTCCCTCTTCTCCCTCTCTCCCTCTCTCTCTCTCTCTTATTTTATATCTCTCTTTCTTTTAACATTTTTGTTTATAACTCTTCCGTCTCGTCTGTGCTCATGTCCTAAATCATGTTTCCTCCTGGGATGCCTAGTTACAGGCTACATACATGTATAAGCATATTTGAGAATTCAATCATTTGCTTTCGTCTGAGGGCGTGCTTGCAAGATAATTGTTGCTCAGATTAATCTTAACCCTAAGTATAAAAACTGTTTTGCCACTTCTGTATCAAAGTTGAACACAATACGACGCAAATTGCCTTGTTGGGCAAGCACATAACAGAACAATGGTATCAATGACTGACTTTGTTTTTTACATTATTTTGATTTGTTTTTAAAAACTTATATAATGACCCAAACACAATTTGCTATTTATGTGGCAAAATTTAACTTCAACATCAATTTTTTTTTTTAAATTAAACAAAAACAAAAATAATGTTAAATTCATTCAACTATCAAATTGATGAACAGTAATGAGTAAACATATCTCTTTATATGCCACACAAATAATTTTCCTTGTCCACAATATATTTATCATGGGATAGATATGAATCATCAACACAAACATAAAATCTAATTTAAAGTAATGCGTGCATAAATACTTATTTATAATATTTCCATCTGTCTTTAAAAAAAAAAAAAAAAATCATTTTGTATAATTATTATGCTTTTCGTTTCTTAAAACAAAATGTTCATGTTTTTGTTGTGAAGTATTCTAATAAATACAAACAACAACAACAAAATACAACAAATTTTGTATATTGCTACTGTACAAAAATACATCAGGTAGAAATGTGTGGCGCCACCTATAGTTCAGAGATATAAACAGAATAACTAGGTCACGGTGTTGTGATGAAATCATTCCTAAATTCGTCTCTGAAAGGAGAATCTAATATTTCCTCCTAGAAAAGAACTGTTTAGTCCCTTTGATGACATGAAAGAATTTTTTTTTTGAAAGTGTTAAAATGTATTATGGTATACATCATGCATACAGACATGAAGCCGGACGTAGGTTAGATGACAACGATGGATGACGAAACCAACTTATCCTACCTTACAGTTTCAGTTTCAGTTCAGTTCAGTTTTATTTCATATTTCACATTGACATTCATTACATACATCATGAGCAATAACAATTATAATGACAAGAATTGTTCATTCAATAGATGTGAAAATACACACAATTACATCAGGCCATGAAAGTAATAATACAGTCGATATAACATACGGAGATATAAATACAATTGCATGGTATTTAAACTGAATTAGACAAATAAATTTGTAGTGAAATATTATTGGGGAATCTAGTTAAATCTAAACTGTAGATTGCGGATGGATTAAACATGAACACAATCCAGTTGCGAATGGATTATACATGAACACAATCCAGTTGCGAATGGATTAAACATGAACACAATCCAGTTGCGAATGGATTAAACATGAACACAATCCAGTTGCGAATGGATTAAACATGAACACAATCCAGTTGCGAATGGATTAAACATGAACACAATCCAGTTGCGAATGGATTAATCATGAACAGAATCCAGTTGCGAATGGATTAAACATGAACACAATCCAGTTGCGAATGGATTAAACATGAACACAATCCAGTTGCGAATGGATTAAACATGAACACAATCCAGTTGCGAATGGATTAAACATGAACACAATCCAGTTGCGAATGGATTAAACATGAACACAATCCAGTTGCGAATGGATTATACATGAACACAATCCAGTTGCGAATGGATTAAACATGAACACAATCCAGTTGCGAATGGATTAAACATGAACACAATCCAGTTGCGAATGGATTAAACATGAACACAATCCAGTTGCGAATGGATTAAACATGAACACAATCCAGTTGCGAATGGATTAAACATGAACACAATCCAGTTGCGAATGGATTAATCATGAACACAATCCAGTTGCGAATGGATTAAACATGAACACAATCCAGTTGCGAATGGATTAAACATGAACACAATCCAGTTGCGAATGGATTAAACATGAACACAATCCAGTTGCGAATGGATTAAACATGAACACAATCCAGTTGCGAATGGATTAAACATGAACAGAATCCAGTTGCGAATGGATTAAACATGAACACAATCCAGTTGCGAATGGATTAAACATGAACGGAATCATGACAGTCTCTATTGATAAACA